TTTTTTGGAGAGGTTTTCGCTATAGGGCGCGTGCGCTTGCCAGACAGAGAGACATAGAGACAGAAAGCGAGAAATCACCCCCCGGGGGGATGGTCATGCCGCAATCCCTTCTCCTCCACTCTCCTCTCGGGTCTTGGGCACGCACGCACACGCGCCTGGCGTGAGTTTTAAGCCATGGGATCCGGGATGCGAACTGCGGTCCACTACATGAGAGTTCAGCGACATAGCTAGTACGCTAACTGCTGGTCCCAGTAATGTGTGAATTTTGTATAAGGAAAATGTTTTGCCTTGGTTTTATTTAGAAAATTGTGACAAAGAGAGAGTTCTCATATCCACGATGTCCTCTTCATTCCTAATACCTCTGCCCTTAAAATCCCTTAAGTGGCTTCTTGACAGCCTCAGAATAAAGCTCAAGCTAATTAAGATGGCATTTAAGACTTTCCAGGGAGAGCCCCTGCTGAGGTAGATGGTCAAGCCTTAGCCACTTGCTTGCATGTCATTCTTGTGCTTGCCCCAGTCCTGCCTGCACCACTGTCTCTTCACTGACCCGCTTCCTACCCACCTCAGCCTCCAGCACTGTCTAGGTGTTACCTGCATCAGGAAGCCTCCTCTCATCCCTGAGCTAAGTGTGGGGGAGTCCCACTTCCAAACTCCCCAAAGCGGCTTGTGAATGACCTACCAGAAGAATTATTATATTATTCAGAGATGATTATTTTTTGTACCAGTCTCAAGTCACTAAACTATTAACTCCAAAATGATAGGAGTTAGATTTTATTCAGTTTTCACATCCTCAGAGTCTAACGATCTGGTCTCTGGTATCCTAGTCTATGAGAAAATGGGGAAAAGAGCAGGTACCATCGTCTTCACACCAACCTGCATGTGAACGTAGCAGCGATCTCATACCAGTTGATGGAGAGGGTATGATGAGGTCACTTGTGACAGCAATGGATGATGTTCATTATTCACTCAGGCCTCTCACTTTCCTGGGCCTGAGACGCTCTCCCCATGCCATGTTTGCTACACAGGCTTATTGTGTTTCGGAAGGTTGACCTTATCTATCCACTGAGCTGACCATTCGACCAGTTTTGAATCCACTCAGGGACAGCCTGAGTCAGCACCAATAGGCTAACTTGCACGTTATTGTTGAGGGACAGAACCAACATCCCTACTGCAACCCCAGAAAATTCTATCTGTAACCATAGGTCTTCAACCCTCACAAATCCGCAGCCTCAGACGGGGTCTTGTTTGGTAGTGATCCAAACCTCACTAGGCAAAAGCTGAGTTCCTGTCGTGTAACAGCTGTGACCAGCCTCAGCTCACACGGTGCTCTTCCCTTCTCTCTCCCACATGTACATGGGGCATCTCTCCTTGTTTCACATCTACTATTAGAATCATATCCTAGAACTTAGCAATGACAAAAATATAAATATCAAATATTCTATATTTGAGAATATTTTATATATTCTATCTTCTTCGTACAAATGTAATATACTCAATCAATTAAATCAGTGAGCATCACATTTAAAATAAATGGATAAAAATGAATACCTATAGGGCACTCAGTCAGAAAGAATAAGAAGCTAGATTTTTAAAAAGATTTCCTACTTTGGGACCAGTAAATGGTGTAGCGGTTATATGACTAGACTCCCACATGGCCAACAACAGTTTGAATCCTGGACCCAGTGGCTTAAAAATCACACCAGGTGTGTGTGCATGCATGCCCAAGATCCTAGAAGGAGAATGGAGGAGAAGGGATTGCAGTGTGACCATCCCCTTGGGGGGGGTGATTTCTCACTTTCCCTCTCACTGTTTCTGTCTCTCTCTCTCCTGTGAGTGCATGCACCTTAAGACAAAAACCTCTAAAAAAATTGAAACATATCCAACTTTGTTGACTTGATTTTTGGACCATGTAAATATTTTACATAATTATCAAACAAATGTTTTTAAATAAAGGTAAAATCACCACAAGAAAGTTTCAAGCAGTGTTTTCTAATTGCCAGAGCACATGGGCTTTCATCAGAGACAGAAAGAAAAGAAACATTCTCCACCCACCCACAATAGGGCATGGTTACACCACAATCCCTTCTCCATTGTATTTCTCTCCCATCAGGATTCTGGGCAAGCATATGTATGAATTTTTCTTTTTCGGAGAGGTTTTTGCTATAGGGCACGTGCACTCACCAGAAAGACAAAGAGAGAGAGAGAGACAAACAGAAAGCGAGAAATCACTCCCCAGGGGGGATAGCCATGCCACAATCCCTTCTCCTCCATTCTCCTCTCAGGATCTTGGGCACGCACGCACATGCGCCCAGCGTGAGTTTTAAGCCACCGAGTCTGGGACGCAAACCACGGTTGGTCACATGGAAGTCCAGCGACATAGCCATTACGCTAACTCCTGGTCCCAGCATATGTATTTTTCAAGCTACTGGGCTGAGAGTCAAACTGCAGTCAGCATGTGGGTTTCTGCTTCCTTAATCACTAT